CCTGGCCGGTGGCATTCCCTGTCTCCAGGATCTCCCTGGCCGGTGGCATTCCGTCTCCAGGATCTCCCTGGCCGGTGGCATTCCGTCTCCAGGATGCGCTGAGCCCCTCTCTCGCTCTACATAGTGTTTTCATTGGACTAGAGAGAAGCAGTTGTGTTTAATTTTTACTGTCTGGCAGGTTACTAAAAGAAGACTTTCTGATACATATCTTATGAAATAATTTTTTCTTTCCTTTAGACACAAAACTTTTAAATAGTCCAAAGCATGATTTTTCTGATGGGCTGAGGAGAGCCCCTGTAGGCAGATTTTGACTGTGTACGAAACCCAACATTTGCACCTCTCACCTGTGTGTCTGCGTTGGCCTCTCAGTTATACAGCAGGCAGCACAGCCCACGTTTCTTTTTCCTGGGAAGTGACCACACCAGATTCTCATGTTCTTAGAGCCTGCAGTGTGTGCTTCTTCCCAGCAAAGAGAAAAGATTATACTCGGAGAATCTTTAGCTCATCAAATGCTGAACAGCTTTTGACCACGTTTACGGTCCAGAACGCTTCTTTATTGAAAGGAGTGTTTTTGAATATAAACCCAGAAACCAAACCAAACCTGTTGCTGTCGAGTCGATTCCAACTCACAGAGACACTGTAGGACACAGTGGAACTGCCCCAGGGGTTTCCAAGGAGCAGCTGGTGGATTTGAACTGCCGACCTTTTGGTTAGCACCCTGAGCTCTTAACCACTGCGCCACCAGGGCTCCTTTTTAATACAGGACAGATAAAAAAGTATTCCTGTGAGTCCTCATTCTGTTTTCTTTTTGGGTCTGTAGACACATTCCTTAACCCAGCGGAGGGCTGTCCAAGGCAGAAGAAAACGATTTGATGTGTTACTAGCCGAGCACAAAAACAAAACCAGGGAAAAGGAATCGATTCGCCATCTGGACACTCAGCAGCCAACGCAGCCTCTCAGGGACCTGCATCCCGCCCCTCCCAGAGCTCCACAGGAGCCCCACCAAAACTCTCACGGAGTAATTCCTCCGGAATCGAAGCCTCTCGTAGCTACTAAACCTAAACTCCACACTCCCGGTCTTCCAAGGTAAGCCGACCCTCCACCGCTTCTTCCCCCTTCATAGAACTGCCTCGCAGCCGTTGTACCGCTCAGCAGAGCC